CCACACACCATATCCAGAAACACAAACCACCCCACCAGTGTGATATAAAAAAAGCCATGAACACATATAGTGGTCCAGCTATAAAATGAGGACAGAGGCCCCGGCCCACTTTTGTATTAAGTGCATTGATATTCTGAGGTCATGAGCATGCTACAAAAATAATTCAGCATAAAGCAGTCACAGTAATGATGTCAAGTGTACATGTCAGCCTTACATTCCTTTTGTCAGTGGTACATGTCCTCACTAACGGCACACACAGGGAGTGTCTACACTTGCCCCCTAGTTCGGACTAGGAAGGCAAATGAAGCATACCGAAGTTGCTAATGAAGCGCGGGATTTAAATATCCCGCGCTTGATTAGCATATTCGCGACCGGTCGCCATTTTAACTGCACGAGGAGTAACAGTTAATTCGAGGGAAGGGTTTTGGATCAGACTCTAGCATCTACATGCAACAAGTTAATTCGGGCTACCAGCTTTTTAAAATGGCGACCGGACGCAAATATGCTAATCAAGCACGGGATATTTAAATCTCACGCTTCATTAGCAACTTTGGTATGCTTCGTTTGCCTCCCTAGTCCGAACTAGGGGGCAAGTGTAGACATACTCACAGAGAGCAGTGCACCGGGAGTACCTATACCAGTGTGCAACTTGCCACTATGTAGTGGTGGGTGTTTTGAGACGTGCATCGTGGGGGCAAACAAGTGGTGCATGGATGACTGGGAACATGGTTTCAACATCCCATGATGCAGTTTTCTCCATTCTCTCATTCCATGGGCATCTCTTAAAAAGCCCTGCCAACCCATCCATCCACTGTCCCCGAGAATCATGTCCCCCCGAAACTGCTCTGCTTTTCAGTATTGTGACAAGCGTTACGACGATAGCATGCCTGAACTTGGAAGTATTTTCAGAGCCAAGAGATGGAATATGATGTCTCTTTGCAGGCTGCCTTGCTCTGGCCCATGAAAAGAAACAATTCAGGGGTGTTGTCGGTAGTCACAAAGCCACTGCACACAGCGGTTTGCCAATTCTGGGCCTGAGAATCAAGCACTGACTGGTGAGATTGCATTATTATGCATTGGCTGCAGAACTTTTGGATACTTACGGCCTCTTTCCTAGAACTGTGGATGGAGCTTTTCCCAACCCTTCAGCACTGTGACACCAAATTGAGAGATACTTTCAGGGGGAGAAACAGCTCATGATCACCCCATGGAAGCTTTCGATGCCAGATTGCTATTGATCAATCAGGGATCAGTTTGGAGCTGAAAAATCCACTATGGGGGTTGTAAGCATGCGGGGTCATCAGTTGTGTCCTGTTACAAAGGACTGTGACTCTGGGCAGTGTACAGGAAAATAGTGGGTGGTTTTGTAGTAATAGGGTTTCCTAGCAGCAGTGGGGCAATTGATGGCACACATAGCCCTGTTTTTGCACCAGAACATTTTGCCATGGAGTGCATCAACAGAAAGCGGTACTTTTTTATGGTATAGCAAGCACTGCTGGATTCCCACAGTTGTTTCACTGACATCAAAATGAGCTGGTTAGGAAAGGTGCATGACACATGCATTCTGTACAGACCACAGGCCTGTACCGAAAACTGTAAGCAGGACTTTCTTTCCAAACCATACAATTACCTCTGAGACTGTTGAAATGCCAGTAGTAATCTTGGTAGACCCAGCCTTCCCCTTAGTTCCATGGTGTACATTATCCAGCATTACACTAGCAAGGAGTACTTCAACACAGGCTTAGTAGATGAAGAATGATGAGCTTTTGGCCATTTGAAAGGCTGCTGGTGCTGTCTATTGATAACATTAGACCTCAGTGAAAAAATAATCTCTCTGGTGTGTGTTTCATAGTATCTGTGAAGCAAAAAGGGAGAGGTTTCTACCAAAGTAGAGAAGGAATGGCTGTCTGCTGCTTTTGAACAGCCATATACAAGGGCTCTAAGAATAGATCAATGGCAGGGAAGGGGCACTTTTCTGCTCAGGGAAGGTTTGAAGGACCATTTTAACAATGAGACACAGTAGTGTGTGTTGCTGTAGTGAGCTGTGCCTAAACTTCTTTTTTATTGCACCCTAGTATGAACACTGTCATGAGTGCTCTGTGTGTGGTAGTATATGTTGTGAACCAATAGTAATGAATGAAGCCAGCATATGTTGTGAACTAACAACAATGAATTACGTTTCCATAAATAGACCTTTAATCTGAAACCATACAAGCTTAAGAACAGTCATACTGGGTCAGACTAATGGTCCATCCATCCTAGTATATTTTTCATATAACATTGACCAGTGCCAGGTGCCTCGGATGTGTTCAGTGTGTAAGAACAAGCTGTTAGCAGGCTTGCTTCCATGAGAAGAGGTCTCTGCCAAACTGGTTAAAAACACTGGAGATAGAACTTGGGTACGTTTTCTTGCAGGAGACCAGGCTAAGTTAGTTCCTTGTTAGTTAAGTTTAGTCTTCAGAGAGCATGTTATGATTTTGTTTTATATGTAACCAGTATTTTTACTCACTATCACAAACTTATGTTTGTTTAAACTATAAATACATCTAAGTGCTGTGCACTCAGCAGAGCTGTGTCCTAAGAGTGAGTTGTTCTGTAATGTTCCTTTGGGGCCAGTGAGCCTGCTAATTCTGTGTGAGTTCAGTGGATAAGGGGCTGGACACTACAGGGAATGCTCAGAGGATTTTAACATCCACAATTTTCACATCAAAAGTTATGAGTGGGGACACATCCAGCCCACTTAATTAGCCTGATTAGCACAGGTCCTACAATTGACAGGTATTAACTTCTGCTGATATTTTGGTTTCTATTATTTCCACTCTAACTCATCTGATAAACTGGGTTTTACCCAGGAAATCTCATAATTCTGTATATTTTTGTTAGTGTCCAGCGTGCCACAGGACTACTCATTTGAAATCAAATCAGGTATTTGCGCAGAACGTCCTAATCTCAGTGCTTTACAACCCAATTTTCTACATAACTTCAGGAGTTTTGCATGCAACTAAATCCTGAAAATCTGCACACTTTTAAGTCAGTTTCAGATTATCCTTATAATATTATACATCTTTTAATAGTAATTTGCATTTCTGTCAGTCTAACTGCAAAACCTGTTTAAAAAGGACATACTGCATCTAAGGATAGATCATATGCATTTTCTTGAGTCTTCTCCAATGAACTCGAGCACATCAGCACCATTTTTTGGAAAAGGGAAACAGACCAGAGACAGGAAACTAATTCTATTGCAAAAAGCAGTTTCCGGAAAATGTAACATCAGCTTAGTCATTTTACTAACCTACAGACCATGATATTATAGTTACTGCCTCTTAAATAGGTGAATATTGGTAATGAACCTAGAATGCACATGTATTCTTGAGCATGGGACTTATATGAATTTTTGGCTTTTTTGGCAGCAATATATTTAGGACCAGTGTCCATTAAATTATCAGTTCCATGCATGTAGAAAGAATCCAACCATTTTCTGGGAAAGCACAAGCTCTCACCTTAAAATCAGTAGACAGATTTGTCATCATCATCCAGGACAATTGAAAACAAAACAATCAGTCCCCTATATACCTATATAATACCCAGCAAAATACTCCCAACAGCTAATGGCTGCAGCATTGTTAAAATCTGGCTTCTCTGCTTCACATCCAGTCACCAATAAATCTGAGGTACTTAGTTTCTTTTTCTCACTGACATGGATGGTAGTCCCTCACTTCGGTCTTTCTGCTCCATTCTGAGCAAGCTGGGTATTCAAACTTTGTATCTCTCCAAGAGCAGGAATCCCGTAGGTTTCAGTTTCCTGCTTTCCGATAAGAATGTAACATGTATCATTGTACATCATACCCAAAAAGATGGTGGGAGATCTAAATTTAGGCCTGCCATAGAGTTGCCAATTTCAGTTGGCTATATTTCTGGAGGTTTCATAACATGACATAATCTTTAATGAAAGAATAATCTTTAATTCCTGGAGACTGCTGGACAATCCTTCAGGGCTGGCAACCCTAGCCTGCCATTCTCAACAGGACTTCTTTTACAGTAAAGCAGAGAAGTCTTTTGAAGATTCGCCAAAATCAGAGAAAACATATTTTTGGCAATTAAGTGTCTTAATATGAGTAACTGCTGCTGGCCAGGTTGCTACATGAGTTCTTCATTCAGTATTATGGGCAGTCTTGGTGTGGTGCACAGTGTGCACATTTACCTGTTGTTGGTGTGTGGTTAGCATTTGGAAACTTGTCTGTGCAATGACTGATCCAGCATGCTGTGAGTACAGGTAGTCCCTTGGATAGGGTATTAGTCCATGAGTCATGAGATCAGCATTCTATTCCTGGCATTGTTTCTGACTCACTGTGCGGCCTAGTGTAGGGTAACATTTTTAGACATGGCCTCCCACTTTAAGTATTGCATTTTCGGAATGATCCAACTTAAGACACTTTTCCTTGTGTTTCTAGGTGCTGAGCACCCCCTGTTCTGACTGATTTAACTGGAGTTGTGGCTCACTGCATCTGAGTATTAGCTATCTTAAATTGTTACTCATTGTTGGTGCCCACAATATACCTCTAATCTCCAACAGGCCTATAGACAGAGTGTGGGTGTGAATGCAGACACACAGAAATAAGGGTGTTTTGTGAAAAGCACAGATGAAGAATTACATTCTAGTCCGCTTTCCTAAAACAAACTGACCCCAGGAAATTACAAGGCATATTCTGTGGAATGAATACATGATATATACTGTACTCTCCTGAGATTAGGGTACCTTTTAGAGGGTTGTCTCACAATCAATAGGTACAGAGTGAATATGTCTGTCAAAGGATATGTGGGTTTCTTGTGGCGATGTGCAGCCTGTTTCCCTTCATAGCAAGATTCTTGGGTGATGGCATGATTTCCATTCATGTAGCCTCTGAACACCTTGGTTTTCCTCATTTTTGCTGACCTTGAAGCTTTGATGGGCACAATAGGAAAAGTTTCACTAACAGATCACTTTGCTTCCTGTTCTCTAGGACTGCCTTAAAGCCTGCCAAGAACAGATTGAGTCGGTGCTAGTAAGCAACCTTAGGCAAGTCCAGCAGCAGCAACAGCAAAGCAATCCTTCTAAGATGGTGGATGAACTGGACCAGGCCAGCACTCCCACAGATGTGAGAGACATCAACCTGTGAGGACATCAGCCCAGACAGTCATGCTTGCTCCCCCTGCTTTCCCCCCCCTTTTTTTAGAATGAAATCTTTTTTTTTAATCTGCTCCCACATAGAACGTATTTAAAGCTCTTTTAGATACAAAACAAAACAAAAAAAGTAATTAAAAACAGCATTTGGTGCCTGTGATGTTCTACAGAAGGGAATCCCACGATATATTTGATAATTGCTGTTTGATTATGTATCAGTGATATTAAGTGCTTATAAAAGCATAAAAAGTAGCTAGATAAATGTAAGCCTGCATTTGTGGGAACAAAGTAGAGTATACTTTTTTGTGCGTGTATTATGACCTAGTGCATACGCACCCTTTTTTAAACTTAAGAAAGGAATTGTGTGTGTGATGTTATGGCTTGACTAGATTGCAAAGCAATATAATTAAGGGGTTAGGGCAAAGTGGAAAAAGATCCCTGAAGTGATTGAACCATTTTGGGTGCAGAAGAGATTTGCTGATTGATCACCTCTGTTATTAGTCAGAACTGTTTGTTGGATCTCTGTATGTTAGTTTTGTTTACTCTTGCTGTCTGTGGTAGCTGCTACCTAAGAAAGAAGATGCTTTATTTTGCCAGCTGGAAGAGCAGGTGTTTCTTTCTTTTTACGCCCACCACCGCTTCCTACTTTTCCTCCAGAAATGGTTCATTCTAAACACATTAGTATCTTTGGCATAAAGCGGATCCTGCTTCCTAGCAGTGGTCCAAGACAAAGTAGAGAATGCTCGTATTAGATGTTAGAAATATACAAACTAAAAATGACCAGTCAACAAATCAGATCACCTCAGAACTTTGGATTCCGAGATTCAGTGGATCATCTGTGAAAAAGCATTATATTAATTCACAATGCTAATGCTACACGTCAATGTTAACTTTTGGCAGCTCCTTATTTTGGTGTAAAGGCAACTCAATGATGCTCTGCCCATCTTTCTTTTTAACATATTCTCACTATGTTAAAGAAGATGTGATTTACTTTGATTCCCACCCACCAAAATACACATTTTTCAGATTTTTATAACTTTACTGGTCCACAGAAAGCATTATTATAAACCATTTCATTCGAAAAGCACTTTGAAAATTGTTCCTAAGGGATAAATGAGATGGTTTATGACAATTGTGCTGAGCAAAGAAAAAAAAAAGCAATGCATAGAGCTTTTAATAGTCAATATTTTCCATTAGCTGGTGTACTTTGCTAGTATTGGTGTTGCTGGAAATTCCAACACCTGCTTCGGATGACATTCCTGTCACAACATTCCGGATGAAAGTCCGAAAGTTCTGTGTATTATTCAATACCACCTGCATGCTTATCTATGGACAATGAAAGAAAATTGCTGGTGCAAAAGACACAAACGGTAAACATCAAGGTGCATGACTGATTTTTATTACAAAGGTGTATTCAGTGTACTTGAATTTATTTTTTCTGCTCCATCTGTAAAGAAGAGGCATTTAGATGGCAAAGGAGATGGGGCAAGGTGTTTTGTTTTGGGGTTGGGTTTTTTTTTTTTTTTTTTTTTTGCACAGTTGTATTAACAGATCGCAAATATACAGTTTGAAGCTGTTGGATGAAATGTTAATGTTTGCATTTTTTAAGATAAAAATCCAGAAAGAACATGCTACTTTGAAGAATATTTTATGAATGGACTCTGCCGTATTTGGCTAGATGAGGGTAGAAAATGGAGTAAGAATCTAAGGGGTTTATTTTTTTTATTATTTTTTTTTTTTTTGCGCTGCTAAGAAGCTATGATTTGTTTCATTCTTATTCACATTAACAGTACTTAGCTGTATTGTTTCACTGAGTGTGCTGCTATTTTATAAACATTTTTATAATATATTATTTTACTGCTTAAATTTCAAATCCTGAAGTTAAGGTTAAGTGGATATGAGTTCTTAGATTTACTGGAAATGCTCTGTACAGTTTTTTTCTAATAGCGTACTCATGATTTTTTTTTATTTTATTTTATTTTATTTTATTTTTCTGATCACATTCTGCAAAGACAGTATATTTACCTCAGGTTTACTGGACAAAAATGGTTCCCATTTTCACAATACCTCACAACTTTACAGTTCCTTCCGCTGGGAGCCTCATGGAATGGTCAATGCAAAAGGCAGCCAAAGCCTGTGTTTTGTGAGCAAAGCACAGTCGCTTCAGTTGTGTAGGGGAACAGTTATAGATTGCAGGGACATCAGGCTTCCGTTTGGTCTTAGGTATCCGTTTCATAGTGGAAAAAATACATTAATATGAGGACCTGTTCAGCAAAGATTTCTGCAAATTTAGGTCTTGATCCTGGAAGCATTTAAGTTCTGATTCTCCACTGTATGTCACCTTATGCCGTCATTTGTATTTGTGCAAAATGAGTGTCTTGTGGAAATTAAAATGTTACCTCTGACATAAATAGAGAATTCCGGTTTGGCAGCACTTTACACTCACTTTGGCCAGGTACAAATGATTAGTCAAGGTGATAGACAGTGAGAATTGTACATTTACTACCTAATGTAATGCTTTACAACTGTAAGTAATCCCATAGGGCTAGATTGTGACTTTGTGGTTGTCTGCATTGTTGCGCTGCCCCTAGAACAGACCAGGAGACAGATGATGACCTCAAGAGTCACAGTCCCCTCCTGGTCTCCTCTGTACTTCAAAAAGGGAATAAACTGCACCAAGTCTATACTCAGTGCAGCGTATGCATTACAGTCCACCAGTGCAGTTATATGGCTGGCCATGTTGAGGCTGGTGGAGCAAGGGCTCTGCCCATTCCCATCAACCTGCGCAGGCATGGGCTGTCCAGCTCTGCGGTGCCTGCTTCTTCGTTCATGATGCTACCTTTGATACTGCTAATTAGCCACACCATGATCTGGCATATAGAAATAAATTGGCTTACTTGTGTTAGTAAGCTCTCAGCTCAATAGTCTTTGTGGAATCAGGCCCCTATTTTGCATTGGATTTAGAAATAATATTGTGGTTCTCAAAGGTGAGTTTTATCTGAGTATGGACTATAGGATTAAGTCCATTAGTCTTCTCTCAGTGGCTGGGTATCAAATGACAAAACAGATACTGCCAGGCTTTTTGAGCCCCAGATTTTACATGCTTTGAACACTGCATATTATAACAGGGCTATATTAAATATTTTCATTGAAAACTGGAAACTTAGGTCCAGTTCCCACAAATACCTTAGATGGCACTCCATTCAATTTCATCTCTCTTTATTCATGCAAAGGTGTTTGCAGCATCCGGGTCTGATATAGCTGAATTTTTTGTATTTAGTTTCAATTTTACTAAATTAGTCCAATTTTGCAAAACAGGCAAAGTCCTCCAAAATGCTTAACAATGTAGAGGAAGTGAAAAATGTTAAAATTCCATTCTAAAATGGCCTTTCAGAAACCTTGACATTTTCCATATTGTGGAATTTTATTCTTACAAAGATAAACATTTTCATGAAACATACAAAATCATGAAAAGTGAGATTATGGAGCCACAGAATAACTTTTGTTTTAGGGCAAAATTTTGTCCAACCCCCAAACCTTCATAGCCCTGAGATCTTATTGTGACATACAGTCTCTTCATATGGGCATATACGAAAGTGATTTATGGACTGAACCAAATTCTGTGCTGACTTGCGCCTTTTGAAACATTCTTAATTCTAGTGGAGCTGTACTTGTGTAAATCAGCATAGTATTTGGCCACATGTGTTTATGGAGATCACTTCACCTACTTCTGGCCTGGAATGCAACAGTCGTGTGCCAGCGACAGTAAACAACAGTTTGTAGAATTGAAACTGTAAAAAGAATGTAGGTCAGCAGAATGAAACGCAGTTACACTGGAATTTGGCCTGGTCAGCAGAGTGAACCATTGTGAAAAGTATCATGGGACTTTTAACAACCACAATGGTCAGAACATTGTTTTTTTCAATTCATTCAAAAAATAACTTTCCCAAGCACAGTTCCTCATGGTACTATGCTAGGCATTAGTTCGTATGGACTTGGAAGGAAGAGTGCTGTCTTCTGAATCACTAGTATCATTTTCTGCAAAACTTAAATTTTCCTTAAATGGATTTGTTTCCAGAAAAGGTTGTGGAGAAGCTACGTAAGTGCTTTTGACCTGTCAGTAGATTAGGAAAGAATTCCATCCCTTTGACTCATGCATTATGCAATGATGGCGCGTTTCACCCTAAAGAACTTGGGAGATTATAACTCAGAGCCCTATTCTGCAAACACCTATGCATGTGAGAACTTGACCTGTCTGAATACTCCCATTAATTGGGGGGCTACTGTAAAATTATTCAGGTGTGTATGTATTTTTTGGATCAAGTCCCCATTGTATTACCATATAGGGTTTTTGTTTGTACCTTAGTATTCCTTTTAAAGCCGCCTCTGAGCATGATATAGTTATATCACGTTCTTTATTTTGTGTAAAGCCTACATATAAAAATTACAATTTGAGCCCACATACACAATTTATTTCATAGGACCTATACATTATGCAGTCACTTTTAACAAATATGTTTGATGCTGTGGTAGTGTAGTAAAAAACAATTTGAATCAAGAGGGCATTTCTATAATACACAGCATTCAAAATATGTGAAATCTGGGTCCTAACAATTTGACAATATCACTTAAAATGAAAACTATCATACATTTTGCACAATTTTCATTTCAAGCTGAGGACAAGAAAGACAACATTGTTTTTTGGTCTGGAATCAAAAACTGCTATCACAAAGCACCAGTGTGTGATTTTTTTTTTCAAATGCCATAATCCAGCCTTGTTCTCTACAGCTCACTTTGAAAAAAAGTGCCTTGCAGATTATACCTTCACATATCTTTGATATATTATTGCAAATGTTTGTCATAATCAATGGAATATTTGGTTTCTCTATTTTCTATTTAAGGTACTTATATGTTGCCCATCACTATAATATTGTAGTGCCTCACAGTCTTCAATGTATTCATGCTCCTAATACCCTTGTGAGGTAGGGAAGTGCTGTTATCCCAATGTAATGCTGCTGGTCTTTGCTTGAATACTTGGACAGCTCTAAAATTCCCAGCAACTCACCCAGCCACTGGATTTTTTCCACTATGTGTATTACCATGTTATCATGTACCTCAGAAATCACTCTCAGTTGCACAGTTTCTGTTCTCAAACTTTTTATTTTTATTTTTATTTTTTTTTTTGCTTTAATGAGTGTGATGCCATATCAAGTCAAAGTTATCCTCTCACAATGTGCTCTTTAAGAGGTGTGGATGTTTATATGGTCAGGGGATGCTAGAAAGTGCGGTAGTAGACATGATCAGTGTAAACAAAATGTATTTAGAAAGTATGTGAGATTGTTTTTTGATGGATAAGATTCTGATACAGCATAGTCTCGATTACCTTTTAAAAGGTCGTCTCTGTTCAGTGTTAAGTCATTTTTATTAATAACGTATTGTTTTGACTAGTTTAAAGATGGTTTTAAGACATGTGTTTTGGCGGGATTAGGTATGCTGTATGGAGAATAAACTCACCTTGACCTGAACTTCCTGTCCTGTTTTTAGTCATTCAGCATGAAGATTCTGTAAAAAGAAGTGTATTTCTAGAGCCCGTTACTTTTTTTTTCATAAATTACTCTCCGCATCAAAGCAACTTATGTAAGTAAACTATACACGGAAATACCTCCTCATATTTAACAGAGTGTCGTGGTGGAACAGATCTACATTAAAAGTTAGCTCATTGATGAAGACTTACAGCCAAACTCTGGAATGTTTTTCTCGTGAAAAGGTCCTGTAGTATTTGAGAGAGGTAAAACTACTAAAAAATGGGTTAAGAGTTCAGTTCTGTTGGACTTTTTCATAAGTGTGCAAAACTTGGATAAAAGGGCTTTATGCTGGACCGAGACATGGAGAATTTGAGGAGAAATGGGCTTCTATGCAGTAAGTCAGATTTCAGGCAGGAGGAGGGACTGCAACTTTCTGAGGTTTACCCTCTCACACTCAGGTGCAGGGCTTTAAATTCATGGATATATACTACCAGTTGACGGTGCCCTCCCATTCACTTGTGTGGAGTGACCAGAGTGCCCCTTCTCCCCCACTCCACTGTGCCCTATAAAGAGACATTGCAAAGACTTCATTATCTCTGTGTGGCCATTACACTGCCAATTCAGTGAAAACAGCAAGGCAAATTATCTGCTGGTATATCTTCACTGACATCTCTGGAGTTATAGCTGCTAATGGCAGGAGTGAATTTGGCTCAGCCTTTTAGCTCTTGTATGCCCTCAGGGAGGATGAAAATTCAATACAAAATGAGAAACCACTTGTGACAAGATCCCCAGGATACAGCCTGGAGCTCTGGGACTGCTGTGCTCCCTTAATTGTCCAACTGGGGCTGTCTTTCACAATGGTTTGTCATTGACAAGCAGTAAACCCCTCCACATGCTGCTGTCACACAGCCACCAGCATGCAGAGGCACAGCCAGTTAAGTTGCATGTATGCTCTCCAAGCCACTCATGAACTATATACAAGGAAACACCAGCAAATCTCCCAAGCCTCCAGTTTTGCACCCCACAAATACACCATCTTACACTGTGCAAAATTGTCTCTTGAACAGTGCAAGCTCATTAATTAGTTTACCACTTTTTCAAAGGAAAGTGGACACGTATTATAATCAGAGTAGCTTTCCCAATCATTTTAGATGAATTTACTGGTAAGGATAAAACGTTAAAATACATTTATTCACTATAGAAAGATAGATATTAAGTGACTGTAAGTGGTAGGTAAGTCAGAGGCATTTACCTTAAGAAAATAAAAGGTAAACATGCATTCTAAATCCTAAACTTTTAGACCAAGTAAGAGTTGAATCAAGCAACTTTTTCATCCCACTGGACATTGCAGGTAGGTTAAAGTTCTTAATACGTAGGCAGAATTTCCTTCTCAGCCTGGGACCAGTTTCCTCAGTTTAAAATCTTTGTTTTCCTAATGTTCTTGTTGCCTTCAGCATAGGTGGGGGAGGAGAAAGGTGGTTTCAAAAGAACGGCTATACTGAGTTGGACCAAAGTTCCATCTACCCAGTATCCTGTTTTCTGACAGTGGCCAATGCCAGGTGCATCAGAGGAAATGAACAGATCAGATAACAATCTAGTGAACCATTCCCTATTGTCCATTCTCAGCTTCTGACAGACAAAGGCTTGGGACACCATTCCTGTCACTGTCCCTTATATGATACTCTCAATCCATGTCCCTGGAAAGATTCTGGCCCAGCATGTCCTGATGGGCGTGGCAGAGTCATAGAGTGGAGCAATCCTCATGGTATGGTGTTTGCACCACTGCGTCGTCATAGAGTTGAGCAATCCTCATTGTGTGATGGGCAACTATCTCTTATTGAATTTTAGATCTCCCCTGCTGGTTCATTTAATATTTTAATGTCACCTAGGTGTGGGTCACTTCCTTTGTTGTCACTGGAGAACTAGCAAAGGGTGACTCTCAAACTCACACCACATATTTCAATAACCATACAGCAAAATCTCATAACATGTAACTTCAAGTACACTAATGATATAAATATTTTACAGAACAATGAGGTTCAGAAGAACTTTCATGTGGTATCTCACATGGCATGCTTTCTATGAAATACCACAACCATATAGGAATAATGAATATGGACGTTATAGAATGCAACTTTGAAGTATAGTGTTTCACACCAGTAGAAAGATATTTTTTTGTCATCTGGTTAAACTGTATTTCAGACAGCTTGCACAATGTCTGCTTTTTAGTCCATGCAGCTTCATATATATTAACCCTTAGGTCTCAGAATGGAAACACACTAAGGGTTGTTTTCATAACATGCATTTATGTATTCAAATTGTAGTTTAAAAAGATGCTTTATAATTTCTATTTAGGATTTATTGGTTTGTGTTCTCACACTAGTGCACAGTACATCAGAAGTAACAATTGATATGTCTAGTTACACTAGGATAAACTAGTATGAGATCAGAATCAGGACGCTTCTGATTTTTAGAGAGAGTTTATCAAACTTACACAGGTTGGATGGACCTTTAGGGCATGTCTACACTGGGAAATTATTTCAAAATAACTTATTTTGAAATAATAACTCCCAAAATAACTATTTTGAAATAGCCTGTCCACACTACAGGGAAGCCTCAAAATTAGTCCAAGGCAGGCTCCCTTAATGTGGATATGCTACATTGTCTTAGAGCCCCAGGAAGCACTGGGGAGTAATTACTTTGAATGACTCTGGAGAGTAGTTATTTTGAAATAGCAACAGTGGAGCATCCACACTACCACTATTTTGAAATAAGTGTTACTCCTCGGGGAAAGCAGGAATTATTTCAGAATAACCAGCCCCTTATTCTGAAATAACAGGCTTGGTAGTGTGAGCACTACTTTGTTATTTCAAAGTAAGGTAAGTTATTTCAAAATAACTCCCTAGTGTAGACCAGCGCCTATAGTCCAGTCTTCCTTAGTCCAATGCCAGCCCTTCTGCTGCTGCAAGAGTGGAGCCCTGTAGCCAGTGGCAGCTGAAGGACTGGAATTGATCTCCCCTGATGGAGCAGGTTGTCTGGTTTGGGACCAGTCAGGTGCTGAGGGTGCCAGACTAGGGAGATACAACCCGTAGTAACAGAAAAGTTTCTTTTTTAAATGTCAGTAAACATGTTTTTAAAAGAATGTATTTGCAATATAAACAAACTAGTGCCTGAGAACTAAAAAAATTAAATTCATTGGACACTGACCAGTCTATTTTCTTCTACTAAGCTGAGTGAAGTGCTAAAAGTCAGCAAACAGCAGCGGCAGATTTACGGCAGGGCGAGAGGGGCAGCTGCCCTGGGCTTTCAGAGGCCCCGAGCATGCGCCGTGGTGCCACGGCTCATGCGCCGTGTCAAAGAGGGGAGCCCCACAAAATTGTGCTGCCCAGGGCCCCGCAGCACTCTCATCTGACCCTGGCAAACAGCAAGGCTATTTTAGTACTTTGGGGCATGTGAAACAATTATTATGATTGCTTTCCCCAAATGTAGGCAACTCCTGACTATCGTGATTTTAAGGAAGGATAGGACAGTGAGCTGACTGTTTGGGACATACTCCAAACCTAATTTTACATTTTAAAAATTATGGAAATAAAGGGAAAAAAGCATCACCACCACAATGAGTAAGAGGATTTCAGTTGCTTCTGCCTTCTAGTCCTCGTGATTGGACTATCTCAGTTTATATTTTCAGGCTATTATTGCCTGGACCAGAAAATTGAATTCTGAAAAAAATCAAGGCAGAGATTTTTCTTTTATATTTCTTGTTTTCCTAAATCATAGAGGCAATCTTAGTACTTGCTCTGGAATTACTATTTTTTTCAAACATTCCTACTGCAGCTGGTATTTTCTCAACACTTCATCTAACCATCTGTATGCACCTCCCATACGTGCTGCTCCAAAAACACCAAAGCATGGAAACTTATGAACACAATTGTATACCCTGGAGAAACAACCTTTTCAAATAAAAAATGAGACACTATGAAAATGGGTCCGATATGCCCAAGAATGATGTTGAAATTCTGTCCCCATTATTGTCAAGGGAAGTTTTGCCCTTGACTTCAGTGAGGCCAGGATTTTATCCATAGGACCCAAACCCTTCTCTTTAAGTTATCATTTACACTAGTTAATGCAAAGTGAATGAAAAATACCAGTGAAAACTTCTAGGGAGAGGAAGGTGCTGCAATCTAGGTGCGCCCTAAAGTCCCACCTTCATGGTGCAATCGTCTTTCCAGTTCTTTCTTACCATCCATAATGGACATTGGAGAGTTCTCTCTCCTCTCCTTCTCTCTTCAAGTGATCCCCTTGTGGACTCAGTTTAATGTAAACAGGTAAGACAATTGTTAATAGCCCTGCTTCTGGAGCTATCGGAGAACACCTGATCATCCTGCCCCCAGTCCTGCATCTGATCACCCAGGACCACAGCCTGCTCCAGCGTCCCAATCATGTTAAATCCATTAGAGCGGACATGTATGGGGTCCAGTAGGGAGGTTCTCCTTAGCAGTAGGAAACCATCCCCTAGGGCCACCTACTTGGCGAAGTGGAAGAGATTCTTGATTTTGGTCATTACAGAAAAGACTTCTCCAGTGCAGTCAACGGTATCTTTCATGTGAACTATCTGCTGCAGTTAAAGTAGCAAGAACTCTAGGTGTCATCACTAAAGATTCACCTGGCTTCTATTTCAGCTTTCCACTTAGGAGTTGCCAGCCAATCAGTCTAGGCCCGTGGTCACCAACCCATCGATCGCAATCGACTGGTCAATCCTGGGGCCTGACCAGTCAATCATGAGGCTTTTGGGGGCCCCCCTCACTGCTCCTCACCTCCAAGATGAACGCCATGCTGATGCTACCTCTAGGGACAACGGCGGTAGCGCGGGCTTCCGGTGGGGTGGCAGGGAGTTCTGCAGCTGTGCACCAGGTCCCAGAATTGCATGGGCTGCTCTTCCTTCCCTCCACCCCCCACCCCAAACAGCCTGCATCGCTC